AAGAACTTTCTGAAGTTTGTATTCTGAATATAACCGGAGTTTATCTTTAAATCCCTCTATAAATTTGACAAAGCTCTCAGTGTGGATGAAAGAATGAACAAACCGTCCTTATTCTCCTGCATCCTCAGGGCTTTTTGCGATATAAATACTTTTGCACAGATTCTTCAGTGTTATAGATTTAGCTTTTAAAGCATGTGACCATCTACATCTTACAGTTATAAAATGCACCCTGCGTGCAAACTGGATGGTTTCACACGTTGGATGCATGTTAATATGGTGCTTTATGACGTCTTCTCCAGTGTTTTCCAGGAAAATCTGTTCAGAAATAAAAGAGACGTTCATACATCGGATTTAAATCCATCTAAGTCTGATTTCTGGGTATTTCCTGCCATCGACAGGATACGGTTTTATGAAATGTTCGGTGAGAACCACAACATTTCCTCCAGGTCGATCAGAATGACTCATTGTAGAAGAAAATCGACACAAATCCATCATGTCAAGAGATAAGCTTCTGATAAGCGGTCCTGACATCACCGCTGTCCTGTGGCGGCTTGTTTATGGTTCTTTGTAACGCTTTTAATCAACCTTGTAAATTAATCCAACTTTTCTTGCACTTTGTTTTTGTTTCAACCACAAACTTTAATGTGTTCCATTGGGATTTTTACATAACAAAGCAGCAAAATATGAAGCTAAATTCATAGCGGAGAGGGCTATAGTAACTCTGGAGGAGCTGCAGAGATCCATGCCGGACTCTCCTCTGTCCTGATCAACCTTTAGGCACAAACCACATGGGAGGTTGAGTAAAAGATGCAAAGAAGGTGCTGTAAACGAGGCCTGGTTTGGTGAACTCCCTTCCTGCTGCGGACTCAGTCAGCTTCTCTCATTGGTCCAAAGTTCTGCCTTCAGGCTTCTCTGGATTCAACCCTTGACCAAACAGATAACAGGAGGACAGATTAATCAGCGCAGCAGTGAGTAATGCTGAAGGGATGAGCCCAGTGGGATCCATGGGTTTACCCTGGATGATTTTCTTTTTCTCTGCAGATACTGAGAACATCACATGTCTCCTGAGCTGATAGCGCATAGAAGAGGCTTTAAACCCTCATTTCTCGTTTTTTTCTTCCTTCTTTCCTCCAGCCTCTGAAATGGATCACAAAGCTGTTTTCACAGCTTTGGAGAAGGTCTGTGAAGACAACATCTGTGTGCTGTGTGGACCCTCCGAGTCGCCGTATGGCACCATAACCAAGCGCTTGGTCGCATGTATGAGGAAGATCCAGCAGCACGGCCGCGCCCTGGAGCCCGTGGTGGCCAGCTTCGCCGCCGTCTACCATCACTATGACTTTGACCCGCAGACACCTGGAAACGGATACCGAACCCTGGTAAAGGTGAGGCTCATCGCCCTGCAGGGATCAACTTTAAGCGTTATTTCCAAAGTTGTTAGATGTTCCTAAAGGCATTAAAATCTCCTCCAGCACAAGGTCCGACCATCCACCTGCATTTAAGCCAAAGTTTCACGGTAAAATGAAAGTTACGTTTGTAACTACGGTTCTATGAATCCTGGACGACCACTAGAGGGCAGTGCTGAAAGCACTGAATGCTCCCTTTGCATGTTGGCAGTGTGAGGAATTATACCCACACAGCCACACCTGTGACATCCTGGATGAACAATCAGCAGCTACATATGCTGCCATCATTTCCATTCTATTCAGTTTATTTCTATAACTCCAATTCACATCCTGTCATCTTAAGGCACTTTCCAGTTCACCAGATCATCCAGTCAGATCAGGGGTCGACGTTAAGCAAGTGACTTTCACATTTCATTTGCCCAGAAACAATTTTTACTTGCCCAGTATAATGTTTGATAAATATAGTTCCTAATATTCATTTTTGTATATGTATATATCAATGAAACATGTTTGTTTTTTAAATGTTTTTTTGTAATTCAGTGTTTTTTA